TACAGGTGCCCCAGGAAGCCAGAGGCATCAGATCCCCTGGAGCTGGAGTTACAGGTGGTGGTAAGCCACCTGTGATGTGAGTGCTGTGAATCAAACTTTGGTCCTCTGGAAGAGCAGTATGTGCTCTTGACCACTAGGTCTTTCTCTAGCCCCAAGGCTTTGAGTTTTATTTTGTTTTTGTTTGTTTTACAGCTTTGGGGGTGGAATCCAGGGCTTTACACATGCTAGGCAAGTGCTCTTAACACTGAGCCGCACACCAGTCCTTTATTGCTTTTTGAGACAGGCTCTTCTGTCGCCCAGGGAGGCCCGATGTCAATTTGAGACAGCATTGATGTGTTATCTCTCATCATTTGCAACTAAACAAAAGCACAAGGTATGTCTTCCAAATTTTCAAGAGGGTGAAATGTCCACATTTTTACATGAGTATTGACAATTTTTTCCTTTTGAGACAGTCTTATGTAGCTCAGGCTAGCCTCCAACATACTATACAACTGGGATAATCGTAAACTGCCTCCCAAGTGCCAGGATTATACGTGTTCACCACCATGCTTAGCTCAGCAATAAAGTTTTTAAAAACAACAGCCAGGGCATGGTGGCACACACTTTTAATCCCAGCACTCAGGAGGTAGAGGCAGGCAGAGCTCTGTGAGATAGAGGCATGCCTGGTCTACATAGTGAGTTCCAGGTCAGCTGGAGATACAGGGAGATGTTCAGTGGTTAGGATCAATTGCTGCTCTTGCGGAGAACATGGGTTTGATTCCAAGTACCCAAATGGCAGCTAACAACCATCTTAAACTCCCATTCCTGGGGATCCAACACCCTCTCATAGACATAATTTAAAAACAAAATGTAAAATAGAATAAAACAAAACAACAACAAAAAATTATAGGCGCAAAATATATTTGCAGGCTGAGAGTAGTCTGTGGAGCACTTGGTGATCTCTATTCCAGATGCTGAAGCAGGGCAGTGCAGTGAAGGCCTGCCTGGGGTTGGGGATCCACCTCCAGCTCCACACTGCCAGCCTGAAGAAGCCAAGAAGGAAGGGTAATGCAGCAGCATCCGAAAACTGCCTGGGAGAGAGGGCAGTGCTGTGGCTCCTGAGACTTCTCACCCACCAGTCCATGGGGTGGTGCCAGGTTTGCTAAGCAACACAGGGTAGGTCAGCATGAGGAAGGGGATGTGACATTCTTAGTCAAGTGGGGCCTCCTAGACTCTGTGAGGCTGTTACAAAGGACAATGCCTTGGAAGGAGAGTGGCAAGTGAGCGGCTGGCCAAGGACAAAGCAAGGATTTGGACCCCCCAAAACAAGCTGGGAAGTGAAGTCATTTCCTTTCTAAAAATAATGCAGCTTCCCTGGACACTCAATAACAGGCTCACCAAAAAAAGAATGACAACAGAAGTCGCCAACTCTTCAAAGAAGACCAGCTAGTGTCAGATCACACTAAAGAACTCACTGTTATGGAGAAAGTTTCTTCACATGCCTTGCCTTGCTTGTTTCTATGACAACTCTGTGAAGTAGACACTATTAGGGCTACTACTGTGCCCTGGAGAAGAAGGAATGAGCACTAAGGGCAATCAGATGGTTTGCAGTTGGCTCTGGCACAGGCAGGAAGGCTGATATGGAGAATAAAAGGCTGCAGGCTGTCTTCCTCCCTGTGCACATCGCTACAGAATCACTTAATTCAACTCACTGAACACCTTCCATGGGCCTTGAGAACACAGCAGTACCCAGGTCTTGGTCTCTTTTAAGTTTCCTGATTGGGTCACAGTCATCCTTATTCTGAATCATGACCCAGACTGGACTTCCCCATTCCTCTTTGGCTGGAACAGTGACCTCAAACTAACTTTCATGTTTTGTTCCAAAGACCTGTTGTTTCCCTGACTATTGGTCATTTCCTGTAATGCACTAACCTGTGCCAGGAATGCAACATGGTTTTATATGCTTAAGGTATACACAAGCAGCAGACTCAGGCCACATTCCAGCCATGCCTTCATCCTGACCTATATTTCATTTCAGGCAGGCCACACAATTCTGTGTGCATGTTACTATAACACAGTTTCTCTTGAAACAGGAAATAATCTAGCTGGTGATGCCAGTTTCTAAGGCATCTTTCCCCATTACTTTCCTTCATCTGTATCTTTTCCTTTGATGCTGCCACCTTTTGGGGTGTCATGGAGACTGGCCTATGTGTTACACATATGTAGGGAAGTCCCACGAACTCTCCTATGCTTAAGGTTCTCTCAGTTCTTGTTCTCCAAATTTAAATTTTCTTTTTTTTTTGTCTTTTTGAGACAGGGTCTCTCTGTAGTCCCAGCTGACCTCAACTAATTATGTAGACCATGCTGGCCTTGAACTCAGAGCAATTCACCTGCCTCTGCCTCCTGAGTGCTGGGATTAAGGGCAAGCGCCACCACACCTGACTTTAAATTTCTTTTATTACATTTCATTTTGTGGGTGCGTGTATACCACACCTGTGGCGGTCAGAGGACAATTTAAGGGAGTCAGTTTCTCCTGTCATGTGGGGTCTTGAGGATCACACTCTGGTTGGGCTTTTTTTTTTTTTTTTTTTTCTGCGACATCTCCATCTAGCCCCAGCTGGTCTGGAACTTGCTATGTAGATCAGGCTGGCCTCAATCTCAGAGATCCACGTCTGTCTCCTGAGTTCTGGGATTAAAGGCGTGTACCACCGTGCCTGGCTTCCCATGAATATTTTTATATTTTTTTCTACACATCTGTCCCTTAGTAGCCAGTAAAGCTTTACGCTATCTTTATATTTTACATAAATGGTGTATTATTTTCTGCACTTTGCTATATGGTGTTCTGTTGTGTAAATACACATACCTGGGGGCTGGAGAGATGGCTCAGCAGTTAAGAGCACTGGCTGTTCTTGCAGAAGACCTGGGTTCAAATCCCAGCACCCACATGGCAGCTAACAACTGTCTATAACTCCAGTTCCAGGGGATCTGACAGCCTCTTCTGTCCTCCTCCGGCATTGCACGACATGGTTACACTGACCTACATGCAGGCAATACACACATACATATAAAAAGAAAAAAAAACACATATACCTGTTTAGCCTGGGATTAAAGGCTCTTGCCACTGTGCCTGGCTAAACTGCTGAGTTTATAAACTGCCCAAACATAATTCCTCTGTTGAATGTAATAAAATTGTCTCCCAAAGGGTATGTTTAAATTCAGGGGCTGGAGAAATGGTGAAGAGCAGTTGCTGCTAGCAGGCGTGGTGGTGCACGCCTTTAATCTGAGCACTCAGAGGCAAAGGCAGATGAATCTCTGAGTTTGAGGCTAGCCAGTGAGTCCCAGGAAAGGTGGGGCTACAGGGAAACCCTGTCTCAAAAATACCAAAAAAAAAAAAAAAATTAGAAAAAGAGCACTTGCTTCTCTTGCAAAAGACCAGGGTTTGGGCCAGGCGTGGTGGTGCTCGCCTTTAATCCCGGCACTTGGTAGGCAGAGGCAGGCAGATCTTTGTGAGTTCAAGGGCAGCCTGGTCTACATAGCAAGTTCCAGGACAGCAGGGGCTACAGAGAGACCCTGTCTCAAAGACACACACACACACACACAAAAGCTGGCCTGCAACTTGCCACGTAAACCAGGCTAGCCTCAAACTCAAGACTCACCTTGCCTCTGCCTCTCCAGTAAATGCTGGGATTAAAGGTGAGTGCCACCACACCTGGCATTTTCTATTACAGTGGGCCCTAAACCCAATGCCATTTGGTATCCAATGGTCACACACACACACACACACACATCCCAACCACACGGGACAAGACCCTGTGAAGCCTCCCTCATTTCAGTTTTCCGGCCCCAGTACTAGAAGAAATATCTGTTTTTGTTGGTTTTTTTTTTTTTTGAGACAGGTTAGCCCTAGCTGGACCAGCCTGCTTCTGCCTCCCAGATGTGTTGGAATTAGAGGTGTGCCACCATGCCCAGATAAATGTTTTTTTTTTCCTTTTATCTTACCTATATGACTGTATTGCCTGCCATGTGTATAAGTACACCCATGTCATGCAATGCTCAGAGGTCAGAAGACATCAGATCCCCTGGAACTAGAGTTGTTAGCCACCACATGGGTGATGTGAATCCAGGTCCTCTGCAATAGTCAATGTTGTTAACTGCTGAGCCATCTCTCCAGCCCTCAGATAAATTTGTTTTAAGCCACTAAGTTTGTGGTCATTTGTTACAGCACCCCTAGGAACAACTATGTGGACTGGATTGACTTGTCCCCTCACTAAGAACCACTAAGCACAACTCCCTGGTTTATTCAAAATTACTTTCCCGACATTTCTAACAATACAAATTTTTTTCAATGAATTTAAAAAATATAGTTTAGGGCTAGCAAGATATGGCTTCAGCCTCCAAGCTCAAGGATCAATGCTTGATCACTGGACCCACGTGGTGGAAAGAACTTAAAAGTTGTACTCTGGGCCAGGCATGGTGGCCAGCCGGCTCTATATAGTGAATTCCAGGCCAACTGGGGCTACAGGGGGACCCTGTCCCCCAAAGACAAAACCAAAAACCAAGTTGTACTCTGACCTCAACCCTTGCTTTGTGGCACATGTACCCATACACACATGAAAACAATTACAAAGCAATGCTAATAAGGCTGGTATCTAGACAGGAGCCCATTAAGATACAGACAAGTTCAGTAATTATTCTTGGAGGGTGTTTCTTATTTCAGATCTTCTCAACAAGTGTCCCCCAGGTACAAACACCCCAAGATGCTGAGGTCTACTACTGAAAACAAAAAGCACTACCAGTCTTGACTTCAGGAACTTGTTAGGGGGCAGGGTGATCTCTCCACTATTAGAACCAATGCTCAAATGTAAAAGCCCAAATCTACTAAAGCAGTATTCTTCATTAGTGGCATCTAGCCACTTGTGGGGGCTAGCTGCCTTCAACAAACCTTAAATGAACTTCCTTTTCTAGACCCAAAGACTGACAAAGCAAAAAGAACCACAGAAAACAAGCTACCACACCAGACAAAGGATCACTTAGGCAGTTTTTAATGACAGTCCTAGGTAAGACTTTACTCCTGCATCTTCTCGATGGTTTCTTCCTTGTATTTGCCCTTTTCCTTTCCTACTTGGCGAGATTTAGCTTTCCGTTCCAGGATCTTTTTGCGGTCTTTGTCCAGCTTTAGCCTGGTGATAACCACCTGCACAAAAATAAAACAGCCTAAGCTTTAAACAGTTGCCAACACAAAAGGCCCAGTTAAAGGTCTGATCCCATTTCCCAAACCTGGGGTAGTGATGCATCAACATGTTATGATTGCTTTATTTGTGATCTTTTAGCCCCTAAACCAAACTTGGTCGTGTTACAATGACCTATCAACTAAATAAAAAAGGTGAGATAGTTTCTGTGATTCCCATCGTCTCTTGTGTTACTAAAGAAATTTATTTTTGGGGCTGGGGATTTAGCTCAGTGGTAGAGCGCTTGCCTAGCAAGTGTAAGGCCTTAGGTTCGGGCCTCAGCTCTAAGAAAAACAAAACAAATAAAACTTTTTCCTTGGAAGAGATTTATCCAACTCTCATTCCCATATGTAGACACATACTTTAAAGTAACTTTAGCATTATAAAGTTGAAATTTCAATGTGGCCTCCATATAAGCTTCAACCTACAAAACACTTTGCTAGCTGTTCTTGTAGAAGAGCTGGGTTTGAATCCCAGCACCCATATGGCAGCTAACAACTGTCCTTAACTCCAGTTCCAAAGATCTAATGCTCTCTTCTGTCCTCCATAGGTACTTACACACTGATGCACTTACACACCTACAGGCATAACATTCATCATCAACTAATAATGGGTAAACAAATGAATAAAAGATGGCATTTTAGGCCAAGTGTGGCGGTGCACACCTGTAATCCCAGCACTCAGAAATCAGATCTCCCTGAGTTTGACGCCTGCCTGTTCTACATAGTAAATTTCAGACTAGCTGGGGCTACACAGCGAGACGACAAAACCAAAAAGGAATTTTGGAGACTGTGGGAATTGCAAAACAAAACCACTACCTCCAATAATACACACACACACACACACACACACACACACACTCTTGAGACGGGGTTTTCCTGTAGCCCCAAACTCACAATGTAGACCAGGCCAGTCTCAAGTCTCAGAGATGGGCCTGTCTCTGCCTCCCGTGTGCTGGGATTAAAAGTGTGTACTACCATGCTTGGCTCAAAAATGTTATTTCTGACCTGAGCAATTAGGAGGCTAGAGCTGCCACACTGTGACAACAGGAAATTGGGAGGGCTCAAGAGAAAACCAGCACCTATCACAGGTAAGATAATGATCAGGTACCCAAATTGAAATGCAAAACTGGCAATTGGCTATTGAGCTTAGAGTCAAGAGCAGAGGTCTGAGGTGGAATCACTAGCTTCCATGTATCTAAAGTCTCAAGACTGGAATGAGAGATGAAGGTGGCCACTAAGTCGATCAACAGCATCACAAATGTCATTGTGGGCAAAAGACCTTAAAACTGGCCACTGGATTGGTAACCTTGAAAACTGAACTAGTGGTAAGAGGTAAACATATGAGAGAACAGGTTAGAGAATGAGACAAAGTCCTTGTTAAGAGAAATACTCAGTGACAGGTGGTGTGCCAGGGCACTATAATTCACTGTGTGGTGGGGGAAACAAAACAGAACTGTAGGTGAAAGACATGTATGACTTTGAATTTTCTGTTCTTTGAAAATTACATCTACAGTACCAACATAATATCCAAAGCAAGGGGCTGGAGAGATGGCTCTGCAGTTAAGAGCATTGGCTGCTCTTGCAGAAGACCCAGGTTCGAGTTCCAGCACCCACACAGTACCTCCAGTTCCCCACATAGTAACTCCAGTTCCAGGGGATCCAACACCTTCTTCTTCCCAGGCACCGCATTACACTGGTACACTTTATGCACATGCAGGAAATACACTCATACAAGTAACTTTTAAAAAAAATGTTATTTTTATGTGTATGCGTGTATTGCCTGCACATATGTAAGTGCACCCATGTTGTGCAATGTCCACGAGGACAGAAGAGGCCATCTTATCCCCTGGGATTTGAACCCGGGTCCATCTGCAAGAAGAACCAGTGTTCTTAAGCGTTAAGCCATCTCTCCAGGTCCCCCCATAAATTTTCTTTAAAAAAGATGTAAATCAAACAAACAAAAAAAAATACTATCAAGTGCTCATTGGGCATATTATCACCTTTGCTCTAAACAACTTCTAAAGTTTGGAAGATAGAAATTGTGTAACAATATCAAACCAGAGCCAGTGAACTGCCAATAATCACAATTTTGAGATAATCTGCACAGAAGTCCAGGGCAGACAGCTTCTTTATGGGATTCAGACAAGATGTTCTGTCTTAGCTTAAGTTTAAGCACTACCTCTGAGCTTTGGGTTACTTTCTTCTGTTGATGGTTAAACCTACTTCCTAAGGCTGTTAAATGACCACACCGCTTACTCAGTTCCGAATATGCAAAACAGAGCTAAAGTGCTATCTCACAATGACCCTATTTCTTAGATTTTTTTAAAAAAAATTTCAGAGTTGAGGATGGAACCCACCGCCTTGCACTTGCTAGGCAAGCGCTTTACCACTGACCTAAATCCCCAACCCTGATTTCTTAAGATTTTTTTAAAAAATGGTAGATCAATAGGATTGCTGCCATTTGCCACACGACCAGTGCCTTAACTTTTTATACAACTGTTGTGATTTAATCCATATAAATAAAGCTTTGCATATTAAAAAAAAAAAAGTAGATCAATGGGGCTGGAGAGATGGATGGCTCAGCAGTTAAGAACACTGGCTGTTCTTTCAGAAGACCTGGGTTTGAATCCCAGCACCCACATGGCAGCTAACACTGTCCGTAACTCCAGTCCCAGGGGACTGACAGCTTCTTCTGTCTTCCATGGGCATTGCACGACATGGGCGTACTTACCTGCACGCAGGCAATACACACATACACAGAAAATAAACAAACAAATAAATATTTAAAAGGATTTTTTTTAAAATTTACCTATTTTAGTTTTATGCATCTGTGAGTGTTTTGCCTGCATGTATGTAAGTGTACCACCTCGTGTGTGCATTGTTCAAGGAACCCAGAAGAGGGTGTCGGGTCCCCTGGAACTGGGGGTATAGACATTTATTAGTAGCTGTGTAGGTGTTGGGAACTGAACCAGGGAAACAAACCCAAGTCCCCTGCAAGAGCAGCCAGTACTCTTAACTACTGAGCCTCCTTTCCAGCCCCTTAAAAGTATTTTTCTTTAAATGCATCTGGGGCTAGAGAGATGGCTCGGCAGTTAGGAGTACTGGCAACTCTTCCAGAGGACTCATGTCCAGCTCCCAGTACCCATGCCAGGAGTGTATGTGTGGTTCACAGCCACCTATAACGTGAGCTCCAGAGGATCCAATGCCCTCTTCTGACCTCCACAGACACACACACAGACACACAGACACACAGACACACACACACACACACACACACATACAGATCTTTAACAAAAAAACTTCATTTGTACTAAACTTGTACTTCCTTTCATTATTCTCTGAATGGAACAGTAGGGTAACTATTTGCATAACATTTGAAAAGTGTTAGATATTATAAGCACTTTAGAGATGGGATGATGTGTGTAGGTTATAAGTAAATATGTCATTTTATGTAAGAGGTTTGAGCATCTTTGGATGTGTCTGTGTC